TATAGGAAATATAGGCCATCTTGGAACACCGCTCGATCCGTCGAATTAATGGGCAGGAACTGTTGTGTAAAAAGACGTTATATATGTTGTATGTGTTGATTTTGACGTTAATGTGCGGAAGCCTTGAAAGGTATGGTGGGGCAAAAAAATTTATTGTGTTAATTTAAGTTACATTTCCAGCCTTAATTTTACCATTTAACCCACCAAAAAAAAAGAAAGAATTAAAGCTAATTAGCTAACAGTCAAAAGTTTGAACATGCTAGATAAGATATATTATTCATCTTTATTCAAAATATTATTCAAATATTAGTCAATTTATAGTGTTATGGTCTTCGTTATTATTCAAAGATAATAGAAAATATAAAAAAAAAAGTAAGAAAATTATCTGTAAACATTGAATGGTGGTGTGCATGTACACTGTTTAGTGTTTGTCGTTATTCCATCCAGCCACATTTACCCAAGCAAGCTGCCAGGAACTGCTAATTATTAGCTCTTTGGTCCCATGATTGGTAAGGACCAGATAATAACTAGTCAGCTGCACCTATTGGAAATCATTTTTCCAGCTGTTTTTTTGCAAGAGAAAATCTTACTTTTCAATACTTTTCAATCTTACTTTTTCTTACGTTTCAATTTAATTTTATTTTTACCCTTCAGGGCTTCCATGTTCTTTTTCCCAGCATCAATTTTATCAAACTTTTGTCCTCTTTCTTTTGATATTTTTGAACAGGAAAGCCAACCAATGGAGGAATTGGGGCCAGAGGACTCATCAATGTCTCCTCCCTCAGCTACGCCACTGGATAATAAACTATAGTCCCACAGCAGTTATTACTTAACTCTTTCACTACTTGGACATTTAACTGCCTTAATCAATTACTCAGATCAATCATTTGAATTAGTGTGTAAGCTAAATGAGTTCATACACCTGTCCTGAGCCTTATCAGGTGTCCTAAAAACATGTCTAGACTTTCACATTCTCACTAGTGAAGGGAATTCTAGCTGTTTTCAGTGTCGTTTGGCGCTATTCACCAATAATATACATTCACTGTCCACTTTACTAGGAATATACTTTTAGTGGGTAGAACTCCCTTTGCTCTCAGGCCTCAGATCTTCACTTTGCACAATATGTTGGAAACATCCCTTTGAGATTCAAGTCCATGTCGACATGACTGCATCATATAATTGGTGCAGATTTTTCAGGTGCACATTCATGCTATGATTCTACAGCATCCCAAAAGGTGTTCTACTGCATTCAGATCTCCTGACTGGGGAGTCCACTAAAGAACAACAAACCAATTGTCATGTTCATGAAATCAGTTTAAGGCTACTTTTGCTTTGTGACATGATGCATTATCGTCTATAGAAGCAGCCTTTAAAAAATGGGTATATTGTATCCATGAAAGGTGCGCATGGTCGGCAACAATACTCGGGCTGTGGCATTCAAATGATTGTTATTAAGGGGACCAATGTGTTTCAAGAAAACCTTCCCAACAACATTACACCACCAGCAGCTTAAACTGTTAACATCCATGGATTCATGTTGACACCAAATTCTGTCCCTACCATCTACATCTTGCATTAGAAATTAAGATTCTCAGTCCAGTATCGGTGAGCGTGTACCCACTGTACCTTCATATTCCTGTTCTTGGCTGACAGGAGTGGAACCTGATGTTGTCTTCTGCATTTGTAGCCCATCCACATCAAGGTTCAACATGTTGTGCATTCTGAGATGCTTTTCTTTTCATCACGGTTGTAAGCAGTGATTATTTGAGAATCTGTAGCTTTCCTGTCAATTCGAACCAATATCTGACCTTTCTCGGTAACAAGGTGTTTCATGCCGAGAACTGCCACTCATTCATTTTTGTACCATTAGGTCGAAACTCTCAAGACTGTTGTGTGTGAAAGCTCGAGAGGGTGTTGGGTTTCATTAGTAAAATAGATTTTAACTTTGTTAAATAAGCAGTACAGTGTTCCAGACCCAGTGTGGGGCTGTGATGTCATGTATTGTATATGTCTAAATTGTAACTTAGAATCAAACTGGATGTGGCTGAAGTGCAGTTCTGTTACAGTGTTTAGTTCTAAGGAATTTTATTCAACTACCTGTAACACTCCACAACTGCCAATTGTGCAAAAGTGATTTGTGCAAATCTTTGCTACTCTGCATTTCTGAGGATTATACATTTGTTACAAATGACAACAGTTGCATGAACTGTTAGTGTTAAATACTATTTTTGAAAAGTTGTGTGAATATATATATATATATATATATATATATATATATATATATATATATATATATATATATATATATATATAAATAAAATATATATATATATAAAATATATTTATTTTGCTTTAACTCCTTTGCCTTAATTTCTTGCAGACCTACGGTTTAACAAACGTCTCTGCTGCTGTTGCAGTTGTTGTGAGAGGATATAGACTCGCTGTACACTTTATGAAGAACACATTTACACCTCCACTTCATGCAATTATCCAATCAGCCAATCACGTGTCAGCAGCACAAGGCAGAAAATCCTGCAGATACAGATCATGAACTTCAATTAACTTTCACATCATACATCAGAATGGGGGAAACATGAGATTAGGGTTTGGCGAGTTGTGCATTCTGAGATGCTGTTCTGCTCACCATGGTTGTAAAGAGTGGTTGAGAACCAATCTGGCCATCCTCCTCAAACCTCTCTCATTATTAAGGTTATTCTGCCCTATGAACTGCTGCTCACGGGATCACCATTCTAAGGAAATCTACATAATGTTGTGCATGAAAATCCGAGATCAGCTATTAAAGAATCAAAATCTGAGATCACTCCCCCCCTCGTCCATTCTGATGGTTGATATGAACATGACTGAAGCTCTTGACTTGTATGCAGTATGATTTTATTACCAGATGATTGGCTGATTAGATAACTGCATGAATGAGTAGATGTGCAGGTGTTCCTAATAAAGTGGATGGCGTAAATGCTTTGTGCAATGATGTTTTTCTTGTCACTGAAAGACTTTTTACCCTCCTCTCTTTATCACATGTTGCGAATTAAGTGTATTGTTTATTATTATTGTTGTTGCTGTTTCTTCTTCCTCTTATTATTATATTTTCCCCTGCTTGTGATGAGTGGCTGGCTGCTGTTCCTGCTGTTTACTGTAATTGTTTCAGCTCAATAATGGAAACATGCTATGTATGTACAATATATAAACTGACAGATATCTGTCCTGTGGACTTGTATGTACAAAGTTATCCAAATAGTATTTACCAGAGATGCACCAATACTAAATTTCTCAGCCGATACCAATAACCAATTATTCAGAGTGATATCGGCTGATACCGATAGTTCTGCCTTTTATGCCTTCTTTTAAATTAATAATTAATTCCAAAATTCTGAAGGAAATGCAAATAAAACTTTATTTTCTCCATTTCAACGAGTTGTTTCACAGTAACTGGTCTCATAAACAGAAAACACATTACTAAATTCTCAAGATTAAAGTAAGATTACTAACTTTTTGAATGCTATTAATTCATATTACTGAATTCTAAAAATCCTCCTGTTATTCTCACATTCACTTTTTATATATTAACATTAACTGGATATGAAATACACTACTCCATAAATATATTTTTGTTATGTGTGTGTGTGTGTATGTATGTACACACACACACACATATACATATACACACTTTTTGTTGTCAATTCATCTTCATTTAAATCTTTCACCAATGTACTGCTTTAATTCGGCGTGTGCAGCTCAGCACAAAAAAATTTGACTCAAAACCGAAACTCCCGTTTCACTGCTGCAATTTCTGGTGTAAAATTTTATCAGTGCAGAGATTACAGAGATTACAAACTGCAGTTTTGTCGTCATTCCACACAAGAGATACCATCTTCACACACACCACCAAATCGATGTGCTTCCCTGCCCTCTTTTGATTGACAGGATATAATCGGCCCTGATCATCAGATGTTTTTAAACTATTGGCTGATGCATCGGTGCATCTCTAGTATTTACCATTGCATCAGTTCAGCTCTGGTGTATCCATACATGTTTAAAGTGGTCTACAGTAATAATTTCTTTAAAAAAAAAAAGAAAAAATAAAAGCAGTTGATATTAAAAAATGTATTGCTATTTTTTTTATTTCACATAGTTTAAATCTGAACTTAAACAGATCTGTCATTGTAAATGTTTTTGAACAAATAAATCTCAATGTAAATGTGATTTTTAGAACTTATTTCTATAGTGTAATTTCCTTAAAATAATTCTTCTGCTGTTTATTGAAGTTGTCTAGAGATACATAATTTGTTAGTTATAGTATTACTCACAACTGTGGAACATTTCTAAAGTTAGTTATCAGTTATTTGATTAAGGTTTAAATGATCAGAAATGTGTTTCAGTGATAGCAGGTAAACCAAAAGTGGTCATCTGAACTGTGTTTAATTACAGTGTTTCTCAGGGCATGTTTGGTATCATTTTAATCCACACTTCATGGTGAACAATGTAGTGATATAAATATCATATAGGTTTAGGAAACACCATTTACAATATATGTTATCCACAATCACACACACAGAACTTCTGCGTGTAAAGCAGACGTGATGACCGCCACACTATAGAACCAGTCTCTTTACCCTACTATCTGATTGCTCATACATGTTGTAGGATACTGGTCATTAATGAGGAAAATTTGGGAAGACCATCATGGATAGATGGCTCATGAGGATTTGTTACTCACCACTGCCACTCAACCTTATATTGCAACTCCCAAATGTATGGTTCCACTGGGGATTGAACCCAGGACTTTCTGCGTGTAAAGCACATGTGATGACCACTACACTATAGAACCAGTTAGTTCCCTTTACTATCTGTATGCTCATATATGTTGTAGGATACTGGTCATTAACGAGGAAAATTTTGGAAAACCCATAATGGTTAGATGACTCATGAGGACTCGCCATTCACCACAGACTTATTGGTTTATATTGCAATTCACAAATGTATGGTTCCACTGGAGGTTGAACCGAGGACCTTCTGCGTGTAAAGCAGACATGATGACCGCTACACTATGGAAACAGCCGCTTCCCTACGTTTTCTCAAACTTCATACATGTTGTAGGATACTGGTTATTAAAGGAAAATCAAAACGGTCTGACCATTCATGATGTTTTGTTACTCACCATTAGCACACAACCTTGCATGGTTTTCATTGCAATTCACAAATGTATGGTTCGACTGGGGGTCAAACCTAGGACACCCTAGGTGTATAGCAGACATGATGACCACTATACTATAGAACCAGCTGTTTCACCCTACTATCTGTATGCTGATACATGTTGTAGGATACTGCTTATTGAAGGAAAATCCAAAAAGGTTTGATAATTCATGAGGTTTTGTTATTCACCATTAACACACGACCTTACTTGGTTTTGATTGCTTTCTGCGTGTAAAGCAGGCGTGATGAACGCTACACTATAGAACCAGTTACTTCCCTCTACTATCTGTATGCTCATACATGTTGTAGGATACTGGTTATTAAAGGAAAATCCAAGAGGGCTTGATGATTCATGTGGTTTCGTTACTCAGCATTAACACACAACCTTTTGGGGATTGAACCCAGCACTTTCTGCCTGTGAAGCAGACATGATTACCGCTACACAATGGAAACAGCTGCTGCAATATATTTTCTCAAACTGCATACATGTTGTAGGATGCTGGTTATTAAACTATTAGACCACTACACAATAGAACCAGTTGCTTAACCTTACTGTCTGTATGCTCATACATGTTGAAGGATACTGGTTATTAAAGGAAAATCCAAAAGGGCTTGATAATTCCTGAGGTTTTGTTACTCACCAGTAGCATACAACCTTACTTGGATTTCAGGGCAGTTCATAAATGAATGGTTCTGGGGATTGAACCTTTTGGATGAATGGTTCTGGGGATTGAACCTTTTGGATTTTCGTTCAATAACCAGTATCCTACAACATGTATGAAGTTTGAGAAAATGCATTGAAGCAGCTGTTTCCAAAGTGTAGTGGTCATCATGTCTGCTTTACAGGCAGAAAGTCCTTGGTTCAATCCCCAGTGGAACCATACACTTGGGAGGTTGCAATGAAAACCAAGTAGGTGTGTGCTAATGGTGAGTAACAAATCCCAATGAATTGTGTAAACCAGCTGGGTTTTCTCTAATTTTCCTCATTAATGAAGAGAGTTCTACAACATGTATGAGCAATCAGATAGTAAAGGTAACTGGTTCTATAGTGTAGTGGTCATCACGTCTGCTTTACACGCAGAATCCTGGGTTCAATCCCCAGTGGAACCATAAATATGGGAATTGCAATCAAAACCAAGTAGGCTGTGCTAATGGTGAATAACAAAACCTCATGAATTATCAAACCCTTTTGGTTTTCCTTTAATAAGCAGTATCCTACAACATGTATGAGCATACAGATAGTAGGGTGAATTAACTGGTTCTACGGTAGTGGTCATCACATCTTCTTTACATGCAGAAGTCCGGATCGACCCCCATTGGAACCATAGATTTGGGGATTGCAATGAAATCAAGTAATTTGGGAATTGCTATGAAAAGCAAGTAGGGCTGTGGGCTAATGGTGAGTAACAAAACCTCATGAATGGTCGAGCCCCTTTTGGATTTTCGTTGAATAACCAGTATCCTACAACGTATATGAAGTTTGAGAAAATGCATTGAAGCAGCTGTTTCCAAAGTGTAGTGGTCATCATGTCTGCTACAGGCAGAAAGTGCTTCGTTTCAATCCCCAGTGGAACCATACACTTGGGAATTGCAATGAAAACCAAGTAAGGTGTGTGCTAATGGTGAGTAACAAATCCCAATGAATTGTGTAAACCAGCTGGGTTTTCTCTAATTTTCCTCATTAATGACAATGATTAATGAGAGTTCTACAATCCAAAAGGGTTTGATAATTCCTGAGAGTTTGTTATTCACCATTAGCACACAACCTTACTTGGTTTTGATTGCAATTCTCATATCTATGGTTCCACTGGGGATTGAACCCAGGACTTTCTGCGTGTAAAGCAGACGTGATGACCACTACACTATAGAACCAGTTATTTCCCTTTACTATCTGATTGCTCATACATGTTGTAGAACTCTAGTCATTAATGAGGAAAATTAGAGAAAACCCAGCTGGTTTACACAATTCATGGGGATTTGTTACTCACCAATAGCACACACCCTTACTTGGTTTTCATTGCAATTTCCCAAGTGTATGGTTCCACTGGGGATTGAACCAAGGACTTTCTGCCTGTAAAGCAGACATGATGACCACTACACGTTGGAAATAGCTGCTTCGATGCATTTTCTCAAACTTCATACATGTTGTAGGATACTGGTTTTTAAACGAAAATCCAAAAGGGGCTGACCATTCATGAGGTTTTGTTACTCACCATTAGCCCACAGCCTTACTTGCTTTTCATAGCAATTCCCAAATTACTTGGATTTCATTGCAATTCCCAAATCTATGGTTCCACTGGGGGTCGATCCCAGGACATTCTGCATGTAAAGAAGATGTGATGACCACTACACCAAAGAACCAGTTAATTCACCCTACTATCTGTATGCTCATACATGTTGTAGGATACTGCTTATTAAAGGAAAATCCAAAAGCATTTGATAATTCATGAGGTTTTGTTATTCACCATTAGCACACAACCTTACTTGGTTTTCATTGCAATTCCCATGTTTATGGTTCCACTGGGGATTGAACCCAGGACTTTCTGCGTGTAAAGCAGACGTGATGACCACTACACTATAGAACCAGTTACTTCCCTTTACTATCTGATTGCTCATACATGTTGTAGAACTCTAGTCATTAATGAGGAAAATTTGAGAAAACCCAGCTGGTTTACACAATTCATGGGGATTTGTTACTCACCAATAGCACACACCCTTACTTGGTTTTCATTGCAATTTCCCAAGTGTATGGTTCCACTGGGGGTCGATCCCAGGACTTTCTGCATGTAAAGAAGATGTGATGACCACTACTTCGTAGAACCAGTTAATTCACCCTACTATCTGTATGCTCACACATGTTGTAGGATACTGCTTATTAAAGGAAAATCCAAAAGGGTTTGATAATTCATGAGGATTTCTTATTCACCATTAGCACACAGCCTTACTTGGTTTTGATTGCAATTCCTAAGTTCATGGTTCCACTGGGGATTGAACCCATGACTTTCTGCGTGTAAAGCAGATGTGATGACCACTACACTATAGAACCAGTTGCGTCCCTTTACTATCTGATTGCTCATACATGTTGTAGAACTCTCTTCATTAATGAGGAAAATTTGAGAAAACCCAGCTGGTTTACACAATTCATTGGGATTTGTTACTCACCATTAGCACACACCCTTACTTGGTTTTCATTGCAATTTCCCAAGTGTATGGTTCCACTGGGGATTGAACCAAGGACTTTCTGCCTGTAAAGCAGACATGATGACCACTACACTTTTGAAACAGCTGCTTCAATGCATTTTCTCAAACTTCATACATGCTGTAGGATACTGGTTATTCAACGAAAATCCAAAAGGGTCTACCCATTCATGAGGTTTTGTTACTCACCATTAGCCCACAGCCTTACTTGCTTTTCATAGCAATTCCCAAATTACTTGGATTTCATTGCAATTCCCAAATCTATGGCTCCACTGGGGGTCGATCCCAGGACATTCTGCATGTAAAGAAGATGTGATGACCACTACACCATAGAACCAGTTAATTCACCCTACTATCTGTATGCTCATACATGTTGTAGGATACTGCTTATTAAAGGAAAATCCAAAAGCATTTGATAATTCATGAGGTTTTGTTATTCACCATTAGCACACAACCTTACTTGGTTTTCATTGCAATTCCCATGTTTATGGTTCCACTGGGGATTGAACCCAGGACTTTCTGCGTGTAAAGCAGACGTGATGACCACCACACTATAGAACCAGTTAGTGCCCTTACTATCTGATTGCTCATACATGTTGTAGAACTCTCTTAATTAATGAGGAAAATTTGAGAAAACCCAGCTGGTTTACACAATTCATTGAGATTTGTTACTCACCATTAGCACACACCCTTACTTGGTTTTCATTGCAATTTCCCAAGTGTATGGTTCCACTGGGGATTGAACCAAGGACTTTCTGCCTGTAAAGCAGACATGATGACCACTACACTTTGGAAACAGCTGCTTCAATGCATTTTCTCAAACTTCATACATGTTGTAGGATACTGGTTATTCAACGAAAATCCAAAAGGGTCTGACCATTCATGAGGTTTTGTTACTCACCATTAGCCCACAGCCTTACTTGCTTTTCATAGCAATTCCCAAATTACTTGGATTTCATTGCAATTCCCAAATCTATGGTTCCACTGGGGGTCGATCCCAGGACTTTCTGCATGTAAAGAAGATGTGATGACGACTACTTCGTAGAACCAGTTAATTCACCCTACTATCTGTATGCTCACACATGTTGTAGGATACTGCTTATTAAAGGAAAATCCAAAAGGGTTTGATAATTCATGAGGATTTCTTATTCACCATTAACACACAGCCTTACTTGGTTTTGATTGCAATTCCTAAGTTCATGGTTCCACTGCGGATTGAACCCAGGACTTTCTGCGTGTAAAGCAGATGTGATGACCACTACACTATAGAACCAGCTGCGTCCCTTTACTATCTGATTGCTCATACATGTTGTAGAACTCTCGTCATTAATGAGGAAAATTAGAGAAAACCCAGCTGGTTTACACAATTCATTGGGATTTGTTACTCACCATTAGCACACACCCTTACTTGGTTTTCATTGCAATTTCCCAAGTGTATGGTTCCACTGGGGATTGAACCAAGGACTTTCTGCCTGTAAAGCAGACATGATGACCACTACACTTTGGAAACAGCTGCTTCGATGCATTTTCTCAAACTTCATACATGTTGTAGGATACTGGTTATTAAACAAAAATCCAAAAGGGGCTGACCATTCATGAGGTTTTGTTACTCACCATTAGCCCACAGCCTTACTTGCTTTTTTAGCAATTCCCAAATTACTTGGATTTCATTGCAATTCCCAAATCTATGGTTCCACTGGGGTTCGATCCAGGACTTTCTGCATGTAAAGAAGATGTGATGACCACTACGCCGGTAGAACCAGTTAATTCACCCTACTATCTGTATGCTCACACATGTTGTAGGATACTGCTTATTAAAGGAAAATCCAAAAGGGTTTGATAATTCATGAGGTTTTGTTATTCACCATTAGCACACAGCCTTACTTGGTTTTTGATTGCAATTCCCATATTTATTGTTCCACTGGGGTTGAACCCAGAACTTTCTGCGTGTAAACAACAGACGTGATGACCACTACACTATAGAACCAGTTAGATCCCTTACTATCTGATTGCTCATACATGTTGTAGAACTCTCTTCATTAATGAGGAAAATTAGAGAAAACCCAGCTGGTTTACACAATTCATTGGGATTTGTTACTCACCATTAGCACACACCCTTACTTGGTTTTCATTGCAATTTCCCAAGTGTATGGTTCCACTGGGGATTGAACCAAGGACTTTCTGCCTGTAAAGCAGACATGATGACCACTACACTTTGGAAACAGCTGCTTCAATGCATTTTCTCAAACTTCATACATGTTGTAGGATACTGGTTATTCAACGAAAATCCAAAAGGGGCTGACCATTCATGAGGTTTTGTTACTCACCATTAGCCCACAGCCTTACTTGCTTTTCATAGCAATTCCCAAATTACTTGGATTTCATTGCAATTCCCAAATCTATGGTTCCACTGGGGGTCGATCCCAGGACTTTCTGCATGTAAAGATGTGATGACCACTACTTCGTAGAACCAGTTAATTCACCCTACTATCTGTATGCTCATACATGTTGTAGGATACTGCTTATTAAAGGAAAATCCAAAAGGGTTTGATAATTCCTGAGAGTTTGTTATTCACCATTAGCACACAACCTTACTTGGTTTTGATTGCAATTCTCATATCTATGGTTGTACTGGGGATTGAACCCAGGACTTTCTGCGTGTAAAGCAGACGTGATGACCACTACACTATAGAACCAGTTATTTCCCTTTACTATCTGATTGCTCATACATGTTGAAGAACTCTAGTCATTAATGAGGAAAATTTGAGAAAACCCAGCTGGTTTACACAATTCATGGGGATTTGTTACTCACCAATAGCACACACCCTTACTTGGTTTTCATTGCAATTTCCCAAGTGTATGGCTCCACTGGGGATTGAACCAAGGACTTTCTGCCTGTAAAGCAGACATGATGACCACTACACTTTGGAAATAGCTGCTTCGATGCATTTTCTCAAACTTCATACATGTTGTAGGATACTGGTTATTAAACGAAAATCCAAAAGGGGCTGACGATTCATGAGGTTTTGTTACTCACCATTAGCCCACAGCGTTACTTGCATTTCATAGCAATTCCCAAGATTTCATTGCAATTCCCCAATCTATGGTTCCACTGGGGGTCGATCCCAGGACTTCCTGCATGTAAAGAAGATGTGATGACCACTACACTACAGAACCAGTTCTGTTCCTTTACTATCTGATTGCTCATACATGTTGTAGAACTCTCGTCATTAATGAGGAAAATTAGAGAAAACCCAGCTGGTTTACACAATTCATTGGGATTTGTTACTCACCATTAGCACAAAACCTTACATGGTTTTCATTACAATTCCCATGTTTATGGTTCCACTGGGGATTGAACCCAGGACTTTCTGCGTGTAAAGCAGATGTGATGACCACTACACTATAGAACCAGTTACTTCCCCTTACTATCTGATTGCTCATACATGTTGTAGAACTCTCTTCATTAATGAGGAAAATTTGAGCTGGTTTACACCCAGCTGGTTTACACAATTCATTGGGATTTGTTACTCACCATTAGCACACACCCTTACTTGGTTTTCATTGCAATTTCCCAAGTGTATGGTTCCACTGGGGATTGAACCAAGGACTTTCTGCCTGTAAAGCAGACATGATGACCACTACACTTTGGAAACAGCTGCTTCAATGCATTTTCTCAAACTTCATACATGTTGTAGGATACTGGTTATTAAACGAAAATCCAAAAGGGTCTACCCATTCATGAGGTTTTGTTACTCACCATTAGCCCACAGCCTTACTTGCTTTTCATAGCAATTCCCAAATTACTTGGATTTCATTGCAATTCCCAAATCTATGGTTCCACTGGGGGTCGATCCCAGGACTTTCTGCATGTAAAGAAGATGTGATGACCACTACGCGCATAGAACCAGTTAATTCACCCTACTATCTGTATGCTCATACATGTTGTAGGATACTGCTTATTAAAGGAAAATCCAAAAAGGTTTTGATAATTCCGTGAGGTTTTGTTATTCACCATTAGCACACAGCCTTACTTGGTTTTGATTGCAATTCCCATATTTATGGTTCCACTGGGGATTGAACCCAGGACTTTCTGCGTGTAAAGCAGACGTGATGACCACTACACTATAGAACCAGTTAGTTCCCTTACTATCTGATTGCTCATACATGTTGTAGAACTCTCTTCATTAATGAGGAAAATTAGAGAAAACCCAGCTGGTTTACACAATTCATTGGGATTTGTTACTCACCATTAGCGCACACCCTTACTTGGTTTTCATTGCAATTTCCCCAAGTGTATGGTTCCACGGGGGATTGAACCAAGGACTTTCTGCCTGTAAAGCAGACATGATGACCACTACACTTTGGAAATAGCTGCTTCAATGCATTTTCTCAAACTTCATACATGTTGTAGGATACTGGTTATTAAACGAAAATCCAAAAGGGTCTGACCATTCATGAGGTTTTTTTACTCACCATTAGCCCACAGCCTTACTTGCTTTTCATAGCAATTCCCAATGATTTCATTGCAATTCCCCAATCCTATGGTTCCACTGGGGGCGTGATCCCAGGACTTCCTGCATGTAAAGAAGATGTGATGACCACTACTACGTAGCACCAGTTAACGCACCCTACTATCTGTATGCTCATACATGTTGTAGGATACTGCTTATTAAAGGAAAATCCAAAAGGGTTTGATAATTCGCTGAGAGTTTGTTATTCACCATTAGCACACAACCTTACTTGGTTTTTGATTGCAATTCTCATATCTATGGTTCCACGGGGGATTGAACCCATGACTTTCTGGGGTAAAGCAGATGTGATGACCACTACACTATAGAACCAGTTGTGTCCCTTTACTATCTGATTGCTCATACATGTTGTAGAACTCTCGTCATTAATGAGGAAAATTAGAGAAAACCCAGCTGGTTTACACAATTCATGGGGATTTGTTACACACATTATTAGTACACACCCTTACTTGGTTTTTATTGCAATTTCCCAAGTGTATGGTTCCACTGGGGATTGAACCAAGGACTTTCTGCCTGTAAAGCAGACATGATGACCACTACACTTTGGAAACAGCTGCTTCAATGCATTTTCTCAAACTTCATACATGTTGTAGGATACTGGTTATTAAACGAAAATCCAAAAGGGTCTGACCATTCATGAGGTTTTGTTACTCACCATTAGCCCACAGCCTTACTTGCTTTTCATAGCAATTCCCAAATTACTTGGATTTCATTGCAATTCCCAAATCTATGGTTCCACTGGGGGTCGATCCCAGGACTTTCTGCATGTAAAGAAGATGTGATGACCACTACTTCGTAGAACCAGTTAATTCACCCTACTATCTGTATGCTCATACATGTTGTAGGATACTGCTTATTAAAGGAAAATCCAAAAGGGTTTGATAATTCATGAGGTTTTGTTATTCACCATTAGCAAGTACACAGCCTTACTTGGTTTTGATTGCAATTCACATATTAATGGTTCCACTGGGGATTGAACCCAGGACTTTCTGCGTGTAAAGCAGACGTGATGACCACTACACTATAGAACCAGTTAGTTCCCTTACTATCTGATTGCTCATACATGTTGTAGAACTCTCTTCATTAATGAGGAAAATTAGAGAAAACCCAGCTGGTTTACACAATTCATTGGGATTTGTTACTCACCATTAGCACACACCCTTACTTGGTTTTCATTGCAATTTCCCAAGTGTATGGTTCCACTGGGGATTGAACCAAGGACTTTCTGCCTGTAAAGCAGACATGATGACCACTACACTTTGGAAACAGCTGCTTCAATGCATTTTCTCAAACTTCATACATGTTGTAGGATACTGGTTATTGAACGAAAATCCAAAAGGGTCTGACCATTCATGAGGTTTTGTTACTCACCATTAGCCCACAGCCTTACTTGCTTTTCATAGCAATTCCCAAGATTTCATTGCAATTCCCCAATCTATGGTTCCACTGGGGGTCGATCCCAGGACTTCCTGCATGTAAAGAAGATGTGATGACCACTACTTCGTAGAACCAGTTAATTCACCCTACTATCTGTATGCTCACACATGTTGTAGGATACTGCTTATTAAAGGAAAATCCAAAAGGGTTTGATAATTCCTGAGAGTTTGTTATTCACCATTAGCACACAACCTTACTTGGTTTTGATTGCAATTCTCATATCTATGGTTCCACTGGGGATTGAACCCAGGACTTTCTGCGTGTAAAGCAGACGTGATGACCACTACACTATAGAACCAGTTAATTCCCAATACTATCTGATTGCTCATACATGTTGTAGAACTCTAGTCATTATTGAGGAAAATTTGAGAAAACCCAGCTGGTTTACACAATTCATGGGGATTTGTTACTCACCAATCGCACACACCCTTACTTGGTTTTCATTGCAATTTCCCAAGTGTATGGCTCCACTGGGGATTGAACCAAGGACTTTCTGCCTGTAAAGCAGACATGATGACCACTACACTTTGGAAATAGCTGCTTCGATGCATTTTCTCAAACTTCATACATGTTGTAGGATACTGGTTTTTAAACGAAAATCCAAAAGGGTCTGACCATTCATGAGGTTTTGTTACTCACCATTAGCCCACAGCCTTACTTGCTTTTCATAGCAATTCCCAAATTACTTGGATTTCATTGCAATTCCCAAATCTATGGTTCCACTGGGGGTCGATCCCAGGACATTCTGCATGTAAAGAAGATGTGATGACCACTACACCATAGAACCAGTTAATTCACCCTACTATCTGTATGCTCATACATGTTGTAGGATACTGCTTATTAAAGGAAAATCCAAAAGCACTTGATAATTCATGAGGTTTTGTTATTCACCATTAGCACACAACCTTACTTGGTTTTCATTGCAATTCCCATGTTTATGGTTCCACTGGGGATTGAACCCAGGACTTTCTGCGTGTAAAGCAGACGTGATGACCACTACACTATAGAACCAGTTACTTCCCTTTACTATCTGATTGCTCATACATGTTGTAGAACTCTAGTCATTAATGAGGAAAATTTGAGAAAACCCAGCTGGTTTACACAATTCATGGGGATTTGTTACTCACCAATAGCACACACCCTTACTTGGTTTTCATTGCAATTTCCCAAGTGTATGGCTCCACTGGGGATTGAACCAAGGACTTTCTGCCTGTAAAGCAGACATGATGACCACTACACTTTGGAAATAGCTGCTTCGATGCATTTTCTCAAACTTCATACATGTTGTAGGATACTGGTTTTTAAACGAAAATCCAAAAGGGTCTGACCATTCATGAGGTTTTGTTACTCACCATTAGCCCACAGCCTTACTTGCTTTTCATAGCAATTCCCAAGATTTCATTGCAATTCCCCAATCTATGGTTCCACTGGGGGTCGATCCCAGGACTTCCTGCATGTAAAGAAGATGTGATGACCACTACACCATAGCACCAGTTAACGCACCCCACTATCTGTATGCTCATACATGTTGTAGGATACTGCTTATTAAAGGAAAATCCAAAAGGTTTTGATAATTCGTGAGAGTTTGTTATTCACCATTAGCACACAACCTTACTTGGTTTTGATTGCAATTCTCATATCTATGGTTCTAGAGGGGATTGAACCCAGGACTTTCTGCGTGTAAAGCAGACGTGATGACCAATACACTATAGAACCACTTGTGTCCCTTTATTATCTGATTGCTCATACATGTTGTAGAACTCTCTTCATTAATGAGGAAAATTAGAGAAAACCCAGCTGGTTTACACAATTCATTGGGATTTGTTACTCACCATTAGCACACACCCTTACTTGGTTTTCATTGCAATTTCCCAAGTGTATGGTTCCACTGGGGATTGAACCAAGGACTTTCTGCCTGTAAAGCAGACATGATGACCACTACACTTTGGAAACAGCTGCTTCAATGCATTTTCTCAAACTTCATACATGTTGTAGGATACTGGTTATTCAACGAAAATCAAAAGGGGCTGCCATTCATGAGGTTTTTTTACTCACCATTAGCCCACAGCCTTTTGCTTTTATAGCATTCAAATTACTTGGATTTCATTGCAATTCCAAATTATGGTTCCACTGGGGTGATCCCAGGATTTCTGCATGTAAAGATGTGATGACCACTACTGTAGAACCAGTTAATTCACCTACTATCTGTATGCTCACACATGTTTTAGGATACTGCTTATTAAAGAAAATCCAAAAGGGTTTGATAATTCCTGAGAGTTTGTTATTCACCATTAGCACACACCTTACTTGGTTTTTGATTGCAATTCTCTATCTATGGTTCCACTGGGGATTGAACCCAGGACTTTCTGCGTTAAAACAGACGTTCCCACACTATAGAACCAGTTACTTCCCTTTACTATCTGATTGCTCATACATGTTGTAGAACTCCCATTAATGAGGAAAATTAGAGAAAACCCAACTGGTTTACACAATTCATGGGGATTTGTTACTCACCATTAGCACACACCCTTACTTGGTTTTCATTGTACCAATTTTCCCAAGTGTATGGTTCCACTGGGGATTGAACCAAGGACTTTCTGCCTGTAAAGCAGACATGATGACCACTACACTTTGGAAACAGCTGCTTCAATGCATTTTCTCAAACTTCATACATGTTGTAGGATACTGGTTATTAAACGAAAATCCAAAAGGGTCTGCCCATTCATGAGGTTTTGTTACTCACCATTAGCCCACAGCCTTACTTGCTTTTCATAGCAATTCCCAAATTACTTGGATTTCATTGCAATTCCCAAATCTATGGTTCCACTGGGGGTCGATCCCAGGACTTTCTGCATGTAAAGAAGATGTGATGACCACTACTTCGTAGAACCAGTTAATTCACCCTACTATCTGTATGCTCATACATGTTGTAGGATACTGCTTATTAAAGGAAAATCCAAAAGGGTTTGATAATTCATGAGGTTTTGTTATTCACCATTAGCACACAGCCTTACTTGGTTTTGATTGCAATTCCCATATTTATGGTTCCACTGGGGATTGAACCCAGGACTTTCTGCGTGTAACGCAGACGTGATGACCACTACACTATAGAACCAGTTAGTTCCCTTACTATCTGATTGCTCATACATGTTGTAGAACTCTCTTCATTAATGAGGAAAATTAGAGAAAACCCAGCTGGTTTACACAATTCATGGGGATTTGTTACTCACCAATAGCACACACCCTTACTTGGTTTTCATTGCAATTTCCCAAGTGTATGGCTCCACTGGGGATTGAACCAAGGACTTTCTGCCTGTAAAGCAGACATGATGACCACTACACTTTGGAAATAGCTGCTTCGATGCATTTTCTCAAACTTCATACATGTTGTAGGATACTGGTTTTTAAACGAAAATCCAAAAGGGTCTGACCATTCATGAGGTTTTGTTACTCACCATTAGCCCACAGCCTTACTTGCTTTTCATAGCAATTCCCAAATTACTTGGATTTCATTGCAATTCCCAAATCTATGGTTCCACTGGGGGTCGATCCCAGGACTTTCTGCATGTAAAGAAGATGTGATGACCACTACTTCGTAGAACCAGTTAATTCACCCTACTATCTGTATGCTCACACATGTTGTAGGATACTGCTTATTAAAGGAAAATCCAAAAGGGTTTGATAATTCATGAGGTTTTGTTATTCACCATTAGCACACAGCCTTACTTGGTTTTGATTGCAATTCCCATATTTATGGTTCCACTAGGGATTGAACCCAGGACTTTCTGCGTGTAAAGGAGACGTGATGACCACTACACTATAGAACCAGTTAGTTCCCTTACTATCTGATTGCTTATACATGTTGTAGAACTCTC